TTATGAAGCGGTCGTCGGACGATCCAGGCGAGACTGACGCAGGGATCCTTGCGGAGGGTTTAGGGGTTTAGGGTCGGAAGGGGTGTAGGGTTGAGGTATCTGGGGTTTGGAGAGTACCCCCGAGGCACGGCAACCCTAAACCCCAGACCCCGAAGCGTGAAATCCTGCTACATTGCTTTGAAGAACAGATCTTGGGATTTAAGGGGCAGGTTTCCTCAAAAAGGAAACCCTGGCCCTTAAACCCTAAACGCTCTCCAACCACTCGGGCCTGCTAACCTGTGTCCTCGGCTATAGCGGCGAAAGAGGCCTCAGCCTAGAAGCACCGAATCGATCCTCCTCAATGGATCTTCTTCCAACTTCGCGAACTTTGAACCCTAAACCCGACTAAACCCTAAACCCTAAACTCTAAACCTTGAGCCCGAAACTCCTCCACCGACGACCGCGCTGACTTCGGGTGTCGAAGCGGAGACGCAGACGTCTGTCCGGCTCGTTCTAGACAGCTGCCCAGCGGTGGGTATTTAGGCTTCAGCTTCGGGGTAAACGGGGGGCTTAGGCTTTAGGGGTTCAGGGGTCTGGAGGTTCAGGGGTTGGGGGTTCAAGGTTCAGGCTCTACTGTCCATGTTGGGTTGCTCAAATGTCTGCAGTAGGACGCGAGGTCCGAAAAAGGAGAAAGGAAGCCTGAACCCTCCAACCACAAGAGGTTGTTGCATCCCCGTGAGGGCTACTATAGAGGTCTTAAAAACACATTCATTCAGATATCAAGACAAGATATATACATAAGTTATATCGTTTCAATAACTTGACGTACACTTCCCAACAGCCTATAACCCCCCCCCCCCCCCACAGAAACCCACCGACATCTATAGGGGTGGCGAGGACTTGGCATGCTCATGCCACCGAACCGGCAACCAAGCCTCAAAGCACTTCCGGGGTAAGGGGCTAGGGCTCAGGGTCTTTTGGGGTTAAGTCTCTGCGCTACCGAGGTTCCGTTTTGCCGAGGTTACCGTTTTGTTGGCTTGGGTGGTGGCTTTTTTGATTCTGCTTATCTTGGCTCGACTCAAAGAATGGTCATCGAACGTGCGATGTGTCACCCAGCTGTGTCAGCATTCTAACGTGAGCCAGTTGCGAAGAAGGTGCTGACGATCCAGCAACGGAGCTGAGCTTGCAAAGCCGTACAGTATGTTCTGATATTCAATTCCCAATCCCTCAGCCTACATCATGCAGCTGAATTATCCTGTCTATTTAAGTGAGTTGCGATGGTGTGTCATGAGGTCCTCGATTTCGTGGGTGAGGTTCTACTCTGCCATCCCCAACACCCATATCCTCAAAAAGCCGTAGAGCCCCTATGAGACTTGTCCGCCATGTTGGGTCGGAGGCGGCCCCACTGTTTTCTGTGTCGCAGTGGAGTCCTCCTCTTCCTGCTCTGGCTCTGCTCTCTGGCGTGGAGAGATACCAGAACATACGTCCGTGGTGTCCATGCGAGGATTCGCTGGGGCCACTTGCACCTGCAAGCTGCGCCGAGGCTATCATGAAGGATGTTGGTGTAGTCTTTCGATACTATTGAATCAGTCTGAGACCTTGCATGAAAACTAGCCTGTCATGGCATCCCGGACGATCTGTCTGCCATAGCTGCCATGTGACAGAAGCCCTGCAACCCCAGGCATCGCAGCTGCTCGATGATGCTGATGCTGCTTGCGACCTGCTCTCCGAGAGACTGGATACGTTCTCGGAGCACCTGAACAGCAGCTCTGGATCCTGGGAGCAGGTGCAGGGGTCGATTGCAGCCGAGACACCGAGGACTCAGTGATGATGACGACGATGTCGAGGATGACGATCACGACGACGAGGATGATGATGACGATACAGAGTGAGATGCAGGTGTTGTTGATGATGGTATGATAACTGTGATGATGATAATAATAATAATAACCAGGATGATGACACCTGATGTGACGTGACCTGATGTGACCTGAGCTGACTTAGTAGGTGCTGGTCTGATATGACATGACATGCCATTGTATCGCATGGCACAATGTTGATGAAGATGGTATTGATGAAGTTGCTGACGGAGGATGATGTTGGCAATATGAGTGCTTGACTGTTAGCTGGTTGGGATGGTGTTTCACGTTCAAGCGTGAAGGTTGCAGCTTCGACAAGCACATTCACCCACATGCGCCCTGATCACTGTTGATCTGGTAAGGGGTCTGAGCACCCACCCCGCAAATGAGGACATGTGATCATGGTGGTCGAAGACCTAAACCCTAAGCCCATGGCCCTAAGCCCTGAGACCTTCAACCAACTAACCCTCGACATGCCAATGTCCTCCACCCTGGAGCCATAAGCCCTGAAACCCTACAATCTGAACCGGCGTCTCTCCGGGAGTTGGTCTCAGTTGGTTAGCCGGCAGGTGGGCCCTGGAGCCTCTAGGAGTCCCTAACTGTTTTCGGTCGGTGGCTTCTAGTTCCTAGTTGGTGTTTTATGGCGCATTGTATATATATATATATACATATGGTGCAAGTGTGTTGGGGACGAGAAGGGGTTGTTGCCTGCCACCGTGCTAGGGTTTGGGTTTAGGGTTCGTTAGAGCAGAACCTCGAAACCCAACAGCAGGTTACTAATCGGGTCGCAGCTGTACACTGTGCGCGCAATGGAATTGGAACGGTAGAGGAATCCCTTGTTCAAACCTGTTCAAATTTCATGCGCGTGATTTCAGGATCCCTGGCAACTTTCCGCCACAAAACGGCCCCTAAACCCGGAACCCTAAACCGATATGTGCCATCATGCATACTTACAGCATGGAGGCGGCGGACGGCGTGGTCGCTGGGACGGCGGATGATGCTAGCTTTCGCCACGTGCTGGAGGAGCCGGCTGAAATAGTGAGGAACGTGGATGGGGGCCTTGAACCCCGAACCCTCAACCTAAACCTGAAACCCTAAACCTTAACCCACTTTACACAAGAAGCCCTAAACCATTCGGTGCTCCTTTCAAGGACTTGAGCCAGGAGCTGAACTGCAGCAGAAACCATCTGACGAAGGCCCTGGCAGCTCGGCGAGAGAAGCTCCGAACTTCTGGGGATCTGTCAGGGTTCCTATGAAGGGATCCATAAGGGTTTAGGGCTTTTTTGTGGGGCTCCCTTGAGGTTAAGGGCTCCTCGAAGGGTTACTGCGAGGGCGGTGAGCTGTGTACTATGGAGTTTAGGGTTTAGGAATGCAGGGGGCTCCGGGTTTCTGGCAGAGTTTTCAGGGCTCTCTGCCCCCCAGGCCCTGACAGAGGGCCTCTGAATTCCCATAGGATTTCGATCTGCGCTTGATCTCCGAGCTCCTCTGCGGCTTAGCTTGCAACTCAAACTCCAACGCAGCCTCACTAACTCATAAATTGAAAGCCTGGAGTTGCTCACAGGCCGCCCCAAAGACCGAGCGCCATCCTTCTCTGGACCTGATGAGCTCTTTCTGCCTAAGCCTGACACCCTAAAACCGTACATGCTGTATCTTGGGAGTAAAGCAGGTCGCCTTTAACCTTTTTGGGGGTACTATAACTCATATAGAATCCCAAAGGCTAACCTGGAGTTCCCCTAGGATACTGGACAGAAAGGCATAAAGCCTAACAAAAAGACGGCAAGCCACCATAAGACGTCTTTCAATCAACCGTGTAAATGCCCTGGACCTTTAAACGATCCGAACCCTGATAAAGCTTTGTACACCACAGAAAACCACTGCAAACGCCTTCTAAGAAGCAGACCCCCAAGCCTTTGTAAACCCCGCAAGAGCCCTATTCGCCCTAATTCCCAGGAACAGGCCGAGGAGGTCCTCAGCCGTCTGTCTGAGGCGAGGACTTCGAAGAGAGACTTTTTGTTTAGATGTGGTATGGTTTAGGGTTTAGGGTTTAGGGTATAGGGTATTCCTTTACTCCTCTATTGACCTACTGCCTAAACCCTAAACCCTGCGCTGTTGTGAGATTTCGTTGTGCGTCCATGCCATTCATGAGGCTCGGAGAGTTCGATCCGGCTTTGTGGGTCGAGACTTGAGGGACGTCGATGTTGATGTTGGGTGTTTGTAGGTAACCCTAAACACTACAGCCCAAACCCTGAGCCCTCAAACGTGAAAGCCCTACACCCTTAAAGCCATAAGCCCAAACCCGAAAACTCTAAAAGTCAGAAAGCCCTAAACCCTAAAAAGCCCCTTAACGCCCTAAACCCCCTAGGTTTCCGGCAGGTGCAAAACGAGCTCGATGCTCTGAAACGGAAGATGCGCGGGACACCGGCGCCTTTGCCGAAGCATGTAGGTTTAGGGGTTTGGCGGTTCGGGGTTGGGGGTTTAGGGGTTTTAGGGCTTTAGGGGTTTTAGGGTTTTAGGGTTTTAGGGGTTTTAGGGTTTAGGGTTTTAGGGATCAGGGTTTAGAGTTTATAAGGGTTAGAAGTTGTGTTGGGTTTAGTGATTTTCTTCTCGTTTCGATGCCGTGTTTGATAAGAGGCTTCGGAGGTCTTGGATGCATTGCAGAAGCTGGAAGCTCCACCTCTGCAGACCAACATGTTCTTCCTCAGGGTTTAGGGTTTCAGGGTTTCAGGGTTTCAGGGTTTCAGGGTTTGGATGATGGTGTTGGGGTTTCGAGCCTATCCCTGCAATCTCAAAGCCGTAAGACTAGAAAAGGCCAACTACGCAGAGGCGCGGGCAGAAGACAAGAATCTGTGCGTGGAGATCGACAAGAGGCAGGATTTCAGAAGGTTTTGGGATTTGGGGGTTCAGGGTTTAGGGGTTTTAGGGTTTTGGGATTTGGGGGTTCAGGGTTTGGGCTGTGAAGGCTTGAGGTGGAAAGGATTAAGGTTTAAAGGTTCAGGGCTCAGGGTTTAAAAGGTTTGGGGTGTGGTTTAGGGCTTTCTTGCTGGTCGCCCGGGTCTTTGCCTGCCGAGACGCTGGCGTTGGCAAGAAGCGTCTTGGGATTTGGGGGCTTTCCCGTCAGGAAAGCAAGAACATTTCGAGGTTTGGGTTCTGGGCATGCGATGGATTGATTCAGAGCAGGCCGCTTTCGACCCATACTTGGAGAGACATGGCTACTTATAGTTACTTGTAGGATGACTTGTACGGCTAGCCGTGATGATGCTTGCCTTTGACCCCCCCCCCCAGGTGGTAGTTAAACTCTGTGGATTCGAGATCAAAATTTGGGGTCGGGTTTGCTCTGGGCAAGGTACAAATAGAAGGGTCTGAACAACAATTCGGACTAACCTTAATAATAATAATAATAGTATTGCTGACAATAATGATAAGAATAATAAGAAATAATGACAGTACCACTGATCATAGTAATACTAAGTAATCAAGGTCACCCCAAGATCTACCATAAACGCTCTTCCTCAGAGGGTTTAAGGGGTTTAAGGGTTTAGGGGTTTTGGGGGCTAGTGGTTTAAGGGTTTAGGGGTTGAGGGGTTAGGGGTTTAGGGTGTAGGGGTCTAGGGTTTATAAATCCCCAAGCTTCAGAGTCCTCGTTTTGGCGGCCGGCAGTGCAGCATTCAGGTCATCGAACTACACGCAAAGAACACAGAACCTCGCCGACACGGTGACATCCTTTATGAAGGCCGAGTCGGGAGTCTAGTGTTTTGGGGATGTTGGGGTTCAGGAATTTGACCCAGCTTTGGCGCTCGGGCTTGTTTCTTATCCAACCCTAAACCCTAAACCCTAAACCCTAAACTCTAAACCTTAATCTCCAGTTACCCCCCAGTAGCCCTGAGTGATCATCCGTGCTTTGGCATCCAAATGTCTAGTTTTAAAGACTTCGGGATCATATAGGTTAGGATGGTTTAATGTTCAGGGTTTTGGATTTAGAGGTTTGGTTCAGGATTTGGGATTCCGGAGTTTGCCTTTCGTGATTTCGGGTTAAGGATGTAGTTTGCAGGAGTTCCGGTGTAGGCCAATAAAACCCTCACGGAATACTTAGGAACAATCATAGAATCAAACCCAAAAAGCCGAACTTGCCTGATGAGCCCACGGCCTTCTGCCTCCTGGCCGCGGAGGCGCTGACGGGGCAGCGCGAATCCATGAACTTGAAGCCGGGCATCTTTCGGAGTAAGTATTTCTTTTTTCTTTGACTGTGATCTAAAGGCCCCAGTGTAACCCAAAGCTCGAACTGTCTGCTGCCGATGAGCTCGACTACGAAGGAAGCTCGAAGAGCTGGCAGAGCACATTGATGCCTTGTCGAAGAGTGACGACCAGTGATCGACCGGACTGTGGTGGGTGGTTGAACTTAGACCTGATCCTCATCCCAGGCCCGCATGATGACGTCCTGTCCCCGAAAGCCGTAAGCCTTGTTTTAAGGCAATGGGTCAGAGGCATCCCTGGTAGAGCATCCCTACTGGCGACTGCCCGTTGCCCGAAGTGGCGAAGGCACAGAAGATCTGTCTTCGAGTCAGGGGACTGCGCAGAGAAAAGCATCTTCAGCATTGTGCTGTGCAAGGGTCCCTTGTTTTTCTGAACTCCCATGTTGAGAGCCTTGGTGGCGGGATGTGTCTGTGTGTGTGTGTGTGATCCTAGGCCGCTGGAGTGCTGGTGTTGTCTTGATTCTTGAGTGGTCAGTACAAACCTCAGCCAGTCTGCCTAAACCATAAAGCCCACATCTCTGGATTCTTGAATCCGCAATCATGAAACCCTGAAGCCTCGAAACCCTCAAGCCGAAACAGGCCTTCCGACTACGCAGGAGGACAAGAGCCCACAACTAAGAAAACACCCGAATCCCAACCCTAAACCCTAAAAGGCCCTAAACCCTAAACCCAAAGGTCCTAAGAGCCCGACCCCCAAACCCAGAGACGCAAGTCTTGCATGCCAGGTCGGCAGGCGATCTGCGACGTGATCTCCGCCGATCATATGGAGCCGGCTTAACCCTTCCTTGGGCTGAGGGTTTAGGGGTTTAGGGTTTAGGGTTTCGGGTTTAGAGGTTTAGGATTTAGGGTTTAGGGTGCAGCTGCGAGGAACTTCCTGCTGAATGCTCGGCACTAAGCTACACCCCCTCCAAGAAGCTGAGCCTGATTATTCGAGCCTGTGCCTTGCTCTGCACTCTTCATCACTATTCCGAAAAGCGGCGCAGAAGCCAAGATAAGACCCATCCTCGCAGTTCCTCGTGTGTTTTGGGGGTGTTGGGGCAGGGTTCTGCATGTCTTGCGGATCTTTCATTCTGCCCCGTGCCTGTCTTGCGACTTTCGTCAAACCCTAAACTACAAACCCTACATTCCGACTGCTGAACCCAAGTCCCGAAATCCTATACCCTGAACCCTAAATCCGAAACCATGCACCCTGAAGCCCCAAAAGCTTTGCTTGGCCAAGGTCTGCGCTGAGTTCGTCGAGGTGGACCCCGAGGATGAGGGGCCCACTCTGATCGTGCTGGTCAGGGGGAGGCAAGTCTGACATCCAACCAAGAGAGATCTATATATTATCTTATATTATATTATACGATATTTTTCTATATTATATTATATTATATTATGCTATATTTTGCTATATTATAGTATATTATATTATATTACATTATATATTATATAATTTAGTGAATGTAGTGACTCTATTGCTATAGACGAGGGGCCTTTGTGATCAGAACAGATTTCTAATATAACATATCATAACATAATTTCATGGATCTACAGTGGTGGTTGCCGAGTTTCATCTTCAGCGAGACCCTTAACAAAAGGTCTGCAAAACACGCCACAGTGGTCTGACTTTGAAGTGGTTTCTCAGTCGGCTAGGTTGAAGTTCTGGCAGCGGAGCCATGAGACCTATATATATATATATATGTGTGTGTGTGTATACAAATAGGCAATTACTTAATTACATAATTAATTAATTCATTCATTAATTGATTGATTGATTGATTAATGAATGCAGCAATTAATTATAATAACAATAATAAATACAAGTAAATAAATAAACAAATAAATAAATAATAAGAATAATAAAATAAAAATAATGATAATGATAATATTAATAACAATAATAGCAATAATAATAACTATTATTATCAACGGCCGTTGCCCTATGTCCTGAACGATACAAGAGTGCCAGCCTTGCGAGCCCGAAGCCGTTCCCATTGAAAAGCCTAGAGGTCGTCGTTGAATTTTCCGGTACTACGGTTGATGATAGAAATCCGGCATTACCCATAATAAGCAAGATACCATAATTCCCATAGTTCAGGGTCCTTACGGTAATGCAGGATTTCTATCATCAACAGTAGTAGCTACTAGGGACTTCGACCCGAGAAACGGCGACAGCTTTCGGCTAGGATCTGAACTGGGTCCCCGAAGCCACGGACCTCCGAAGCCTTGGAGACCGTCGATACATGAACCCTCCAAAGGTGCCAACATCCAACAGCTGCTCCACCTACATGGGTAGTGCTGTAAATTAGGATCTCTTTCAGGGTCCTTTGATTAAGGGTGCCGTACATCCTTGAACTCCGTAGTCCCTGAATGGGAGGGGCCCGAGGGGAAGTGGTGCTTTGCTTGCCTAGGCTATCTGTCCCGTGGGGCTGCACAATACTTTAAGGTTTAGGGTTCAGGGTTGAGGGCGTGCATCATTCCAATGTCGAAATCATGCTAATAAGAAGATCTTTATTCAGGTCGCGAATCTTGTGCAGCGGTTGACAGGCCCGTGCTGATCTACCGCGCCTTCAATAGCCAAGCCGAGGCGCCAGCTTTCAACAGCCTGATGTGTCTGTGTGTGCGTGTGTGTGTGTGTGTGGGGTTTCAGGCTTAGGGTCTATAGGGTATATGGTTTTGGGCTTTGGGTTCAGGGTTCAAGGTATCTGCTAAGAGTCGTTTATTGTTGGGAGTTTGAGGTTTCGCAATGAAGGGGCGGGAAAGCGATAAAGACACATGCAGGAGCCGTCACCCTTGAATAGTGGCCTGGTGCCTGGTAGTCGTAGTTTCTGTAGCAAACAGCTCCACGTACTAGCGCTTGGATGGGCCAGTGGAGCGAACCCGAACGTTTAGACTCCAAACTCTACGTTCGTTAGCCCGGCCGACGCTCTACATCACTAAGTGCCAAAACCCTGCACCCTCAACCAGAAGTTCTAACTCTTCGAGGCTAAACCCCAAGTCTTCACCCGCGATGTCTTCAACCTGATTCTCAACGAGTCTAAGTCTAAACCCTTTACGTCCTGAACCCGCAAGCGGCTAAGCCCTGAACAGCCTACGTAAAACCCCAGGCCAACGCTCCCGAAGTGTTCTACGAGACCCCAAGCCCCAAAGCTCCGAGAGCCTTACGAAGGGCAAACCCGAAGTCATAAACCTCGAAGCTCTAGAAAGAAAGTGTGCAAGAACACCTGAAGCCCGACAAAACCTAGAAATTTTAGGGTTCATGGCTTCGGGGTGCAAGTTTGTTCATGAACCCCAAACTATGCCAAATGAACGATGCATCCGTGGGCTCTGACAGTTTCACAATCATGTCCCCTTATAGCTCCCTATGTAGTCACAGCAGAATGCCACCCCAAACCTTCTTCGAACAACTCAAATCCCCTGCGCTCACCCCCACAAAATCCTATGACAACCCCTCGATAGTCGAATCACTGAGTCCTATTACTCCTTTGTCTGAGTCTGAGCCCCCTGGAGAAACTTGTTCGTAAAAAGGCAGATGGGGGAGCCTCCGGCCTGTTTCCGCCCCGAGCTGAGCAGCGCAAAGCCGTGAAGCCAAGAAGCCGTCATTGGACGGGTGTGGTTTGCGGTTGAGGGTTCAGGGATTCACACATCTTGTACCCTTGCAACCTACGTTAACGTCTTTTTGTTGGCCCCGACAATGTTCAAACATTGCTTGACATGACCATGGTTTGTTGTTTTCTTGGTGGAGTTGGAGGGGTGTCCGTCCTTGCGATGTTTCGGGGGTTTTTGTGTCCTCGCAGAACTGGGGGTGTTAGTCTTAGTGTCCTCACCGGGGGGGGGGGGTGGGGCACATGTTCCCGACTTCGGATCGCGGCCGGCTGGCCCACCAGGCCTCAGCTCCTGCAGTTCGCAGGATTCTTGCACGTGCTAAAGGACGCATCGTTTCTTCTGGCTACCTTATTTTCTGTTTCTGTTGTACCGTAACGAAAAGGGAGGTTGTCCAAAACAAGGCGTTGCAATTAGGGGCAGGAGTCCAGGTACATCGTCCCTGTTAATTACTGCAGCCATGCACCTTTCACTTCCACCCCCCAAAAAGGAAACCAAAAGTGACTACCCGCCTCTGATAAGGTTCAGCTTCCGCTTGATTGAGCACGACTCGCTGGGCCTGATCCTAAGCACCCCCAATAGACAGGAAGATCGTCAACAAGCTCGCCGGGGGTTACGGAAAGCTCTAGCAGTCAGTTGGAGCTTAGAGCTGATATACGTTACCCCAAGGGCAGCAGGATGACCATGTTGCATCTTCCTGGTTTTACTTTAGGGTGTTTTTCTGGTATGGTAGGAGTCTGTTGTTCTAATCCCTGAACCGAGAGCCCTGACACCACGCACCTGAGTTCGTATTAAAGATCCTACTCTGTGTTGCCATGAAAAGGATCCGAGAGCATAGGGGGTACCACACATCCCACCTATTTTGATGAGTAACACAAAGCCGTCAACATAGCACTGTGTACGAACCTTCATTCACACCTGACAGAACCCTAAACCCTACAGATACTGCAGAGCCCTCCCATAAACCCCTTAAGACAATCGTGAGTAAATACACGAATTCTATAATCTGTCTGTCTGGGTGTCTGTCTGTCTGTTTGTCTGTCTGGCTGTCTGTCCGTCTCTCTGTCTGTCTGTCTGTCTGTCTGTCTGTCTGTCTGTCTGTCTGTCTGTCTGTCTGTCTGTCTGTCGCTCTCTCTCTCTCTCTCTGTCTATGTTCTTTCTGTCTCTCTCTATCTATCTCTATCTTTCTATCTATCTATATTGTGTATATGCATGTGTATATACATATATATATATATATCACTACACATATATCATGTTTATGTAAACAAGCATTCGAAAGTCAAGGCTTGGTCCAGTCACCGAAGGATGTGGCTCAGCCGGGGCCTCAGCTCGGCTCATTCAGGTTTGGGTCGAAGGCTTAGGGCTGGGGATCTAGGGTTCAGGGTGTAGGGTTCAGGATCTTTAGGATTTAGGGTTTAGGGTGTAGGGATCAGGATTTTTAGGATTTTTAGGGTTTAGGGTTAAGGGTTGTTTAGGGTTTAGGGTTCAGGAATTGGGGTTTAGGGTGTAAGGCTGGGGATTTAGGGCAAA